GGGGGGGGGGGGGGGGGGGCAGAGGGGGTGGAATCCTCTGAAGGGGACAGGATGGATAGGTGAATGAGTGTCCACCATCAGCAGCATGGCCCTGTTGGCTGAACCAGCAGGCCATACCCCCCACGCCCCCCCCAGCTGTCAGGATGTCAAGAAAAGCATTTACCCAACACCCCCCAGACATGACCCTGAAAAAGAGAACACTTTGATGTCAGCTTGTGCGATGTTGGCTGGAGCGGGCGGTTCCACACTCCCCTTCAGAAATGTGACAGTTTTATGATTCCGGCTATGAATTGGATGAGGAATACCCACATCAGATACAGAGTCGAGAAGAGGAAGGCAAAACTGGGAAACGAAACAAAAAACTTCAAAGCATAGAAAGATCTGGATAATTCACAACCACAACGAATCAAAGATTAAGGAAACCATATCCTGAACCAACTGATTTAGGAAACCTTACAGGAGAAACAAATTTTCACAAAATATTGGAGAGATGAAGATTTTCATTTTGAGAAGCCAAAGATCAACAAAAAAGATAAATAAATAAATAAACCTTTTCCAGATTTACTTGTGTTACTGTGTGGGTCTTTCAGAGAAAGAGCAGTCACATGGCCAGCAGCCCGCTGGTGGTAATTATTGGGGATCTAAGTGTTGAAAGGATTATTCTCATTGGCCACACTGGAGAGCAGCGAGGGAAAAATAAAAGCACTTTACTGAAACGCAGTGGTTCTGCCTTTCAGGCCACAGGCTCTGGGTATGACATGCTAGAGGCCTCCCCCACAGAATTACTTGAAATAAGGAAATAGAAGTATTTATTTTCCTAAATATCAGTATTTAGTTTCTGTGAACAGAACTAGACAAACACACAGTGCGCTCACAACAGGCGGCAAAAACCACAACAACGCAACCGTGAAAATCAGATTTCATCCGTCTGGCGGATACATCTGAAGTGTAACTTTAATCAGCATTAGGACCAGGGCAAATTAAAAAACCTCTCCCTTCCAGCTAGAATCTTCTAGAACGTGCACAGAACTCCCCCCCTTCATAGACAGCGCACCCCAGCCACAAACTCTTTGAATGGATTTTTCATGGCAAGGTTACGTATGAGACACATCCTATCTGACAGTTTGGATCCAGAAAATAGTCTCAGGCAGTGTATTTAAAGAACTAATAAATCACTCATACATGCAAATTTTACATACATATCCTTTATCCCTTCTAAAAAAGGGGGGGACCGGATGCATTTTGAGGTTTTATTGTGTTATAGAACACAGATTAACCAGGGCAAACACTGAATGAGCCACTTTGCATTACTTCTCTCCTATTTTACAGATTAATAAACCAGCACACATAGCATGTTACACCTGATTACTAAAATGCATGTCCATCCTGCCTAGATCGCAGTGCACACAGAATGTGTATGTTTACCAGCAGACTGAAGGCTGTGGTTTAACAGACAGGAAGTGATGGGGAGGGGAGACTGAGCCGGTTCTGTCACCCCCGGGCAGAGATACTGTCCCACCTCCTCAATCCCTAATGAAATGCAGACCGGGGCAATTATGAGAAGCTACCCTCGGGGCAGATTCTGTCTTGTAAAGGCAAGGCTTCCTATCCCAAAACCAAACAGCATGGAAGAAATGGAGAAACCCCAGAAACAGGGTTGTTTGGAAACCTGTGATACCATTTACATTTTTGTATTTTAACAGGATGCTTTTATCTGAACTGATATACATTATTGAGAATGTAGGGTCAGGCAGTCCCTGAAGCATCGGGGGATTAAGACCGTTGCATCATTCTGCTGACCCAGGGATTTGAACTGGTGACCTTCTGATCACAGACATAGCACCCCAACCCACTGAACCACACCAACATAGACAAGTTTCCCCATCTAAATATGGGATCCAGAAAACGAGGTCCTTAGAACTTCTAGCCCACAGCGACCCCAAAACGGGACAACTCAGACTCCAAGCAGCTTTGTTTTAAATGTCCTGGATAGGATACGCCTGCTCATTAATGCTTGTCAATTACGGCAAATCTGACATCCGGATGCTTACTGCACTGGTATTCAGGATTGAGTAGAAATGAAACAACCAAAGTGAATGAAAATGGAACAAAAGTGGTGATAAGCCTGAAGGATCAGAACCCCAACACTGCAGATCCGGGACAGAAATGCATTTGGGTCCAATGGAAAGTGTCATATGTGGCAGGGAGAAGACAAAATGACCACAACATGTGACAGAAAGCTTCAGCAAGCAATGACCCCCCTTGTCCGAATATGGGCCCCCCCCCCCCCCCCCCACTCACACCCAAGTGACAACCCACATGTCACGTCTGTCATCACTCCTGCACAGCCTGTCACACTCCGGGTGACACCAAGCAAACACCTGCCCATAAGAAATCACTCCACAGGCCAGTTTCACCATGGGCGCATACATATGGAGCGTGATGGGGGAATGAACATCTCACAGGAGGTCTGGAGGACCCAGGAACATGCTCACCTTCATGATCACAGAGCGTACCGCACAGATCATCCATAATAAATACGTCAATTATGCCTCAAAGCTCATCTGGTCCAGGAATATCTCTACTTGCCTGACACTATTCACACTTTCTGCAGATTTGATCAGTCATCCGATTAGGTTCTTGCTTTGTAGATGTTGTGTAGCTCTTGCTCCTATACTGCTTACAGAGTACAAGCACCAGAGTACAGAGTCATTCAGTATGTATCTATGCAGCGTCATGTTAAAGTGGAATTATATCTACCTTCCCCAAACCGTGCAAAGTTCAGGGGGTGGAACTGCTATGTGCCCTGTCCCCTCTAAAAAAGCCCCCCTCCCCAGTTCACAGGCAATTTTTGCTTTTAACATATAATCAGTCCCTCTAGGTTCATCCCCCACTAGAACATGCATTTCACCATTAAGTTAAGGTTTCTGTGAGGATTCCTAACACTTCATGGTGTAGAGCAGTACACCGAAAAGCTCATTACCAAACCAGTATGATGTATCACACCAATTAAGATAAAGGTGTAATTTTCCATTTTAACGGGCTGAACAGGATACTGTGTGTTTTCTGAAAAAGAAGCATGCAGCACAGAGGGAAATCCCCCCCGGGGGTTTGGCGAGCAGACAGCCGATGACTCCTGACCCCCCAGGAGCCCATCTGGTAAAGGTGCCCGTATACCAGGCGCACCTGCTGCACCATACACAGAGACCACCGCTACCTAACCGCTGACTAGTTTCATGTTATATTAACCAAACGTGTAATGATGATTAAAACATACTGCGTTTTACCACACTGACCGCGAACAGACGCTTCTCAGCTGCCCAAACTCATACCTATATCACCCACTAGGGTGACCATACGTCCTCTTTTTCGGGACCTAAAACGTCTGAAATGTCCAGAGTTTCGTATTGTTTTATGTTGACGTTTGTTTTCTACGGTCAGAATACTTTTGTATATAATTGCGTTGCTTTGACGCTTCTCTTTGCGTCCTGCCACCGCAGTTCTCTTTTGTTGCACAGTAAAACATGGTCATTCTATCACCCGGTTCACCAGGATACCACGAACCAGTTATTTAAAAAAAATCAAGCGCAAGAAAATCTGGATATATTAATCCAAATGTCCTGAGTACGTAAAGACCGAAAAAAGTAACAGATTCACTCCGGCAAGTTCAATGCTTTTCATTCTTTAAGGTGTTGCAATAATTTTACGCAAAACATTCACGAAGCTGCTCGCATGTCCCCGATCTTGGAAACCTGGCGATTTACACCTGCAGTGATCAAGGTGAGGGCGGGTGAAATTGGAGAAACGCAGAACAGCGAAGCAGCGGTGGCTGCAAAACTACCTTCGCAGAGCAGAAAACGACAGACTCCTGGCTCCGCTTTATCCCCACACTCCCAGGATCATGAATCATTCAGCCAATTTTTTGTTAATTTTCCCAGTACTCAACATTAACGTCAGGCCATTTCTCGGGGCGGCGGACCTACCGGTGGCTCCCGATCTCTGCCTTCCCCGCGGTGCGTCCGCTCCTCGGCCCTCAGCGCAGTCCGGCTGACCCTATCGGAGGTACCGAGAGGCGTGCTTCCACCCGCCGGGACCGTCCCAGTAGGCTGCACCCTGACTCCTTTAAGGGGGGAAAGACAAGCCAGGGAAAATCCCCCCGCACCTCGACAGCGCTCTACTTCAGCCACTACATAAGCTGCTTATTTCCTTCAACCAAAACACCCTCGAGTAATTTAGGAAACGCGTACGACGATGTTTTCTGTTAGTAAAATTACGTTTTCCACTTGATATGGGTGCCGTTTCCTTAACTGTATATTTTAATATATTTCCAAAGATACAATCTTTGCCATTTTTATGTATACTTTTTCATTCTGTAAATGTATGACTTGTAAGCTTCTCTTACTTCAGCCAGGTTCATATATTTTAGATTATTTTTCAATCAAAATAAACTAAGTCAGTCAACCATTTTATTGTTAAAGATCCGTGTTAGTGAGAGCCAGCACACTGTGACAGACGCAGAATGAAATGCTTTAAGGCCCTTCGAGAAATAGCCGCGAGCGTAAGTTCCATCTACTGAAGTCATTTTACATTTCCGAATGGGATACGTTCCAAGCAAAACAAATAAATCAGTAAATTGAATATGGTTGAAGGTATACTTTTCATTTTATATTTAATCATTCAATACCAATTCTTCTATCCAATTGTGAATTATAACTCAGATTGCCAAGCAGTAAGCACTGGTATAAGGATTACGTTCTCACATAGGCTATTATACAGTATATGCTCAAACAAAACGCCATCTGTTGGACAGGAGAAGTTATTTTTTTAACTTATCTGACCGACATTCAGATCATGTCCGGTTTTTAAGTCTACTTCTATATTTTATTCCTTACCTTCAAAATCCGCTCTTATTCAGCGCCTGATAACTCGTCTTTACTAAAACTGAATGATAGGCCTACAAATAAATTGCAGGAATGTGCATGCACCTATTTTACTGAAAATTCAAAGAACAAAATCAAACGTGTTTAAGTCTTGCCCACGTATCTTCGTTATTTTGATGCCTATAGCCTACTCTGCCAGTAAGCCCATGCAGTTAACCTTGTTTTATATCATGTTAATTTTAATTGTAAATATTAAAATGTGAACGCTGAAATTACTTGTATTCCAAGAAAACCTGTCCCGTTTATTACCCCGGAAAGACTCCTGTCAGACAATAATTGTAGTGTGTACAGGCATGAAGAGGCTGCCATTTAGTATAGGACGCAGTCCCCATTTTACATGAAACGTGTCCTCTTTTTGAGTAGACTACAAATAGACATAAATACACGTTATCAACCCTTTGTTTTTGATGTCTTGACAAATCTTGATGTCTTGATAAATCGAGCTGATTTAACCAGTAATTCACATTCTTTTCAGTCGGTAAGTGATTCCATTCTCTAATCTCCCCCTTTTACTATAACTAAAGTGGATGATGACACCAGAAAATTTAAGGATTATATATAGGCCTAGTTTACCCCAGAGCCATAAAACCATGCATCACAATCCGTATTCATTGTTTTCCAGGGACAGGTGCGGTTATTCTCCTGCACATCGTGGATGCATGGTGTTGCACTTAAGGTGGTGTTTTGTCTCCCACGCCTCAGACGCTCGACATACACTAGTCTGCGTTCCATAAAAAAAACAACGAACACATCCCAGTAAATCTGCCCGCAGACACATATTACATGAACGGGGTTTCGTTTAAAATGCCATTTAATATTGACTTGTAAAGGGACAAGGGAACTGATATCATATGGCTGCGCTATGCGATACGAGGCATGAGGGAATAATGGAAGCAATTTGCAAAAAAAAGTACGCGCTCCTTTAATATACTGTCGGTCACAGGGATTCTGGGATCTTCTGCATGCTAAAAGTCCAACAGGCGTCACCAGGAGCCACGTGCACACCGATCACACTGCACACCTGTTATCACTTGATGCAGCCATTTTTATATTAAACACACGTTTACATCTCATAGGTTTTGTTACTGGTTACAGGTAACTCTGCACACATGCAGCAGGTAAAATAATGGTAAGGACAAGCATTCTCAGGAGGGCGCCAGCTGCAGTAGCCTCTTACGCTACTTAACCTGAATTGTTCTATAATTGCTCTGCAAAAAATAGGCTAAGTGACAAATGTATTGCAAGGGAGCTTGTTTCTGGGTGTATGTTTTTCCATTGTAGACAGGGGACCTGTTTATGTTACAGGGAGTCAACAAGGAGATGGGTGTAGTCTTAAGGGGAGATTAAACCATAACTGTAAAATTACACTTTAAAGGTGACGGTACACACAGGGCAACTTTTTGAGCAATGTTGCCGAGCGATGTTGCTGGCCAGTGCACCTCAGGCACTTTCCCATTGATATTGGCCAATAAATTTCTATTTGAAAAACTTTGATTAGTGGTGGACAAGTTTTCGCAGTGATACAGATCTAGATGAGTTGCCCTTTGTCTCACCTGACTGGCAGCTGCCTGGCAACGTTGCTCAAAAAGTTGCCCTGAGTATCATCACCTTAAGGGGACATGAAGTGAAAATAAAATAGGAAAAAATGTGAAAGTTGCCATTTTCATTAAGAACATTTATTAATCCATTTGTAAAAATAAAATTACATTCACGCTGCAGTGGGCAAAAAGTAACCACTATACTTGCATAACTTGTTTGTATAGTTGTTTGTATAGTTAGATTTATTAAGCACAGTTTTATTGTTCCACGATATTATCGCTTCCAAGTGATAATATCAAATTATACCTGTTTTGTGTTAATGAGAAGCGCACTGGAATCTATCATGGCAGAAACAGGCCCATGACTTTCTGCCGGTGTTGAGTCATGGGGCCAGAGTCAGCGTTGTTACCGTGCCAAATTGTATACAAGGAGCTCTCTAAAAAGCACAGCTGTGAGATGAATAGGGGGCCAGCTGCCCTCATCAGCACAGTGCATTATCACACGAGAAATCCATATGCAATTAATTACCCAGATCTGCTGAAAAATCATTTCTGGAGAAGGGACTCTGCTCTCCAAACCTGCTGTCTGCTTCTAAATGGGTTTTCTCCTCGAACTCATAAATGTCACTTGATAATAAAAAATTCATGCTTCTTTTTTCAGTCTGGATAATTTAGTTTTAGATTAGTCAAACACTTGGTAATCTTGGGGAAAAAAGTTAAAGGCAGTTTCAAAGTCAGTCTCTGTGTGTATTGTTCTGTTTGCTCAATTGTGATGGCCACCCACTCATGGCTTGGCTTACATGGACCAGCTGAGTTAACATTAAAACATTACGTCAATATTGAAATATATATTTCATATTTAGCAAATATTTGAAGCTTTCATCTGTTGCTGTGGGGAAAACCAACATGAGATATTTCTGGCTAATAATCTTATCAGACCCTTGATAAGGGTTGATGGTGTTGAGTGCTATGAGAAGCTGAGAATCCGGATCAGTCCACTTCAGAGTGGTTTGTATATTTTTAATCCTCATGAACATATGTGAGTCTAATATCGAATGCATTTAATAGAAAATTAGTGTAAATACATTATCTTGCACCAAGGTCTCTCACATCAGGGGGTTTAAAAAATAAACAAAAACACATTTCATGTAGAGATTTCAAGCATGGCTGAAAGTTAATATCGCCAAACAGTCATTTCAGCATAATTATAACCTGCGGCCTACGGGTGGGGCCTCGCCTAGCAGTAAATGGCAGGGCTTCCCTGAAAGGAATAATACTTCCTCCGTATTAAATGGGATCTTCAGGATTATGCGAGTCATAGACAAAAAACGTGAAGGAGACAGTAAATATAGAAAAAAAATCATTTGCTCTGCGGATGGAACCACAAACGTCAAGACCTGTGGCAGAGTGAGATGGCCAGAGTGACACCAAGCTGCTTTTCGGGTTTAAGAACAGGACATGATAAGCACACAGGCATTAATGCAGCATGTGAATCAGACATGGAATCATATCAGACACACAGAAAAACAACACTTAGCATGGAGGCGTCACTGAAAACAAACTTCCAAGGACTGAATACACACTGATATCCAGCAGTGGTGTTTACTACCACCCAAACCATGCATTTGCACGGGGCCCCTGATTGGCCACAAACAGTCACTACACTTGGGGGGGCAAGGTGACTTTTTGAGTGTGGTCCCAGAAACAACAAACCCCGCCATCTTTGTTTCCTCCTGCCCTTGTCTGCAGCCCCTTTTCCATCAGAAATACAGTGCAGGGATTGTGCACCTGGGCTTGGGCGGGACTGTGCCAAACTCACGTGAGGAAAAGCCAGGCCTGTTTCTGACATTGCGGCAAACATCACGATGTTGAGTACAGGCTGCTTACGAGTCCTCTGACTAACCGGCAGGCTGCGTGTCATAACCAGTTCTCCATCCCACCAAATCCCGCCAATCCTACATTGTAAAGTCCACTGTTCCACCAGCCTGCGGCTGAGGTTCCAGCTGGCAAATCCGTTTATCTCAGAGTGAGGCAGGCATGAAAGCCAACTGAAACCTGTTACTGTATGAAGAGCCCCGTTCACTTTAGACAAGTGAAAACCACTCACAGATATAATAGATAATTTGGTGATGGATGCTTGGTGATTCCTGGGTACCATAGTGGGGACTGCCATGTGCTTTTGGATTACCTATTGTCCATAAGTGAATTTACACGAATGAGAGTCAGAATATGCATGCAGAGAGGAAATGGGCAGCTTCTTAATCTCACAATTCAGTGTCACATGATTCCTAAAACTCTGCACTGTGCCTGGTACCATGCTGCAGAGAATGCTGGATAAGTGAATGTGAGTTCCATTGTCGCTAAGATAGCCAGAGTCTTTTTTGTGTGGTTACCCTGCTGTTTTCATTATAAAAAAATCTTCTCATAACATAAGTGTGCATATTTTTATAATTGAGTTTAAACTAAATTACAGAGAACAAGGTTTACTTGCCCTGAATAATTTCCTGCTTCCCAAAAGGGGCACCGAGCAGTGCATTCTGGGATAGGGTCCATTTGTGTTATCAACAGTGGGCCTGTCAATCAGCGGTAATAGCAGCTGCCATGAGGATGAGACCACTGACAAGGGTACAGACAAGGGCGTATTCATATCAGTAACTTTAAAGGCTTGTAGAAAGTCACTGGGTGCATTTCTACTGGAGACAATGCCTGTTG